AATCAAAATCACCATGGCACGGTCAAATAAGCATGCCAAAGGCACCAGAATAATTCCGTCAGATGTCATGATGTCTCCATGTTTTTCAGTAATGGGAAAGTACTAGTATGCCAGTGTTTTTTTTAAACACACCACTTAACGTTCTATGGAAATGTGGTTTCGCTGATCCACTCTACAGAGATGTTCCCAGAAGCCTGAGTGGAAAATGAGAGTGGCACTGAGTTGTCCCCCAGGCAGTTCCTACCAAAAGTCCTGTCAGCATTTCCACCCTAGTTTTCTGATTTCTGGGGCTTAAGGCCATGTCACAAAACACATGAGTGTTATATGATCATTTCCTTGATTATACAACAGGCCATGTGGCGCATTGGGAGTGACTGGGTGGGTGCTCCGATCTGTACAACAGCAAGCTTCATAAAGAAGTGAATAAAGGTGGGGAGAGCGTAAGATCCATCCAAGCAAGCTTGTAATTCTTGTCCCAGTGCCAAATGACCTATGAATCTGAATTGATATAGCTGGCTTCCTGCCATAAATGCACACCAAAGCTAAGCACCTGGAAATGTTCTTGTAAATCAAAGGCTCCAGGCTGGCCGTAGAGCAAGGGAAATTCCTGGACTCCAGGGAAGCAGAAGGAGAAGGAGAGCAGGAATCCTTTGTACTTTTCAAGAGCCAGGAAAATTTACCCTTTGGACTTTCAATCCTCAAACCAGCAGAATGGTGGTGCTGTGGGGGTTCTGGGAGTTGTAGTTTGAGAAGTACCGTATATTCTGGCATATATGACGACTGGGCGTATAAGTTGGGGGTCGTCTTATACGCACAGAATTTCAGATGGGATACATACTCTTTTCCTACATTTTAAGCACTAGTGAGATAAAGCATTCAGTTTTTTATGGATGTCATTGATAAATAGTGGATTGTATTGTCGAAGGCTTTCATGGCTGGAATCACTAGGTTCTTGTAGGTTTTTTCGGGCTATAGGGCCATGTTCTAGAGGCATAGGGCCATGTTCTAGAGGCATGCCTCTAGAACATGGCCCTATAGCCCGAAAAAACCCATAAAATAGTGGATTATTCATGTTTCGTGAGTGCATCTGCTTCATCACTTATGGCACCATTGAAATGGTCTGCCATTGGTTTGAAGTCATTGCTGTTGAGTTTCTTCCCTGTCTCTTCTCTCAACTTACCTGTCCGAACATATCTCCCCTTATGAACCATTGAGGACCTTAAGATCATCTGGGGAGGCCCTGCTCTCGGTCCTGCCTTCATCACAAGTACATTTGGCAGGGACAAGAGACAGGGCCTTCTCAGTGGTGGCCCCTCAGCTTTGAAACACCCTGCCTAAGGAGATCAGATCTGCACCTTCCCTCTTAACGTTTCGGAGGCAAGTTAAAACATGGCTGTTTGAGCAAGCGTTTACAAATGCAGAGTAGTTAATATAGGAAATCGAATTTACTTAACAATGCTTGATAATGAGGAGATGCTAATGATGTTTTTATTGCTTTTGTGGTGTTTTATACTATTAATGTTTTAATTGGTATTATGTTTTTATGTATACTGATTTGTTGGAAACCGCTTTGAGTCGCCAATTGGCTGAGAAAGGCAGTATACAAATAAAGTAAATAAAAACAAACAAACAAATAAATAAATAAATTCAGGACCAGCAAGAAAAGGAGGCTAAAGAAGAATTTTGTGGGTTACAAGGGAAAATGCCATGACAAAGCAGAACAAGCACAGCTTTCTCTAGTGCCACAAATCTTGCCGACAAAAGGAAAGTTCTAGTTACATTTGGTAAAGTCTAGCCCTCCCCAAAGCTAGCAGAAACCTCTTTGACTGCTAGACCTGTCTATCTGGCACAGGATAAATCATCTCTATATATTGCATGCCAACTTTCCAGACTAGTCATCTGAGAACAAACCATAAATATAGCAAGGCATATGGTTCCAGAGAGCAGATCAAGTTCCTGGCCATACTGCTATCCTATGCAGAGAATGGAAGGCCCTGCCAGAAAGAAATAATGTATTTTGCTTTGTTGCTCTCATATCATATTGGGTTTATTTGTTTGACTGATCGATGGATTGGTCGATCAGTCATCAGACCTCTAAAATGTGTGAATTTAGGATCTCTGGCTGAAAATGACAAATGCCTCTGAAATTAAAACATGATGTTACCTTACAGTTTTGTAAACCTCTGCTCCCATTCAGCGTTGTATGTAATTTATGCCTGTCCTGAACTTTTTATCAACGGTGCAGACTTTGGACAGCCTGTTTCTGAAAAGCTCAGTAATGCATTCTGCTGTTATTTCCTTAAGCAGATTAGCTTTTGCAAAATGGATGCATGCTCATTAAAATGTGCTACTTAGTGTGTTTGTGAACCATTTCAAGCCTCTTTTATGCAAAGCTGTGACTCAAGACCCAGGAAGTGTTTTATTTGGCAGATTAAAGTTTTAGTCAGTGATTTTAATAATCACGGAGTATATATTTACCCGTATATTCCGGCATAAGCGTATAAGATGACCCCCAACTTTTCCAGTTAAAATATAGAGTTTGAGATATACTTGCCGTATAAGACTACCCCTCTTCCAACACACACCAAATAAAAATCTTAAAAGCATCAGATTTGATGTCAATATGGTAATTTTCCTATTACTGTACTTCCTTCTCTGCCTCTCAGATCTCGCACATGCGCACTTGCACCGCTTCACTGCAGTCTTCAGGAGCGAGATCTGAGAGGCAGAGGAGGAGGTTCAGTAATAGGATACAAGTTTGGGCCAAATAGGTAAAAGAGGTGTGTTTTTCTGGACCCAGAGCCACTCTATCTCTTTTTTCCATACCCCAGATGCCTGCAGCTTGCTCTGCCCTTCACTTACACCTTCCCGATGAGGCGCCCCTTCACCTCACCATCGGGACCACATTAAGTCCACGAATCCTGATGAATGGATTTTCTTCTACCGTACTTGTACAGCGTCACCCTTAATGCTTTCATACATACAGCAGGGATGAGGCCACTGCCATTTTTGAGCTCCCCCCACAATATGTGGCAACCACAGATTCTCCAATCCGGATTGGAAGTTTCACTCACTCCCTCACATCCCTTCACAAAACTAATCCACCAGAAAATGTATTAATGACAAATCAAGTCCTTGAAACCAGACATCAAGTCAGTATGCAAACTGTTCATATGTCATTTCATAGTTTGACTTGCATGCAGGATTTGAATTCATTTCAATAATTTGGAGGTGTTTGAAAATATAAATAGACAAAGAATAGGGACAGAGCTGGCTAAAATCCACCAATTGCAGTTTAGGAAGTGCTATGAAGATGACAATGGGTGAAAAACAGATAAACAAAATGCAGATTATCTGTTTAGGAGAACAGATAAAATTTGGCTTTGATAAAAAATAGCATGTGGATTTGACAGAGACAGATTTTTGATTTCACATAGACAGGACAGTTAGAGAACTGGATTCCCATCTACAGTGCCATATAATCCATTTTCTGAATCCAGATTTATTTATTTATTGTGTCAGAAGCGAATGGAGAATACAGTTATAATGTATAGACAAACCAGAAACAAAAACTTGGTATTATGCTAAATTTCTTTTGACCAGGAGCTGGTCACTTGGAGTGCCTCTGGTGTGGCTGTAAGAAGGTCCTCCACGGTGCACGTGGCAGGGCTCAGATTGCATTAGAGTAGGTAGTTTGTGGTTTGCTCTTTTCCACACCCGCATGTTGTGGACTCCACTTTATAGCCCCATGTCTTAAGGTTGGCTCTGCATCTCGTGGTTCCAAAACACAGTCTGTTCATTGCCTTCCAAGTTGCCCAGTCTTCTGTGTGCCCGGGTGGAAATTTCTCATCTGGTATCAGCCACTGATTTAGGTTCCAGGTTTTAACCTGCCACTTTTGGACTCTCACTTGCTGAGGTGTTCCTTCGAATCCTGATTATCTGCTTTGAAGTGGATTATATGGCAGTGTAGACTCATAATCCGGGTCAAACAGATCATCTAGATTCAGAAACTGGATTATATGGTAGTGTAGATCCAGCCTGACTCTATTCTGGGGAATTATGGCAGAATAGATTGTTCAATAGTTAATGCCTTATATTACTGTATTTTAATAAAACTACTTTTGTATTGTCAAAGGCTTTAATGGCTGGAATCACTTGGTTGTTGTAGGTTTTTTCGGGCTATATGGCCATGTTCTAGAGGCATTCTTTCCTGACATTTTGCCTGCATCTATGGCAAGCATCCTCAGAGGTAGTGAGGATGCTTGCCATAGATGCAGGTAAAACATCAGGAGAGAATGCCTCTAGAACATGGTCATATAGCCCGAAAAAGCTACAACAACCCAAAACTACTTTTGTTATTATTTTATAAAACTGTATCCAGTTGTCTTTATTAAGCCTGATAAGGAGTCAGACCATGTGTGCCATAAGGAATCTACATGGTCCTACTTTAAGAGGCCACTTTGAGGCCTAGAAAGAAACCCAATCTAAAAATGGCAGGGTGTATAGTAGTCTATTGTGAGAAGAAGGTTTGACTTAATGCGATTTTTGTCAAGAGGAGGACTGATTTGATCTGATTATGTGAGGAGGCCTATCTGATTAAGAGGAAGGAAAGAGACAGCTAAAATGACAGCTGGTAGAGTTTGCCAAAAGTTGGATGTTGTAAGAGATGGCATGAGTAAGGAAATAACAGAGAACAGAGACAGTACACCCTGTGACCCAGGAAAAGGATTAAATGGGGAAACAAAGACAAGGTGAGTACCAGGATCCCAAGGATTGGAACTGTGTGGCCAGCCTCGGAAAACGAATCTGTCACAGACACATACGTTGTCATTGTCCCCTCTTCCTCCTTTTCCTTTAGTATAGCCAATATCCAAATCTGTGTTTTAGAATATAATGTGTTAATTAAAACTGATAATGTTATGCTTCATTAAGTGGCGGTCACTATTGCCAAGACATTGTACTTACCGTTTTCTGATCATAACTCTCTTTTTCTCCTTCAGCACTTTAGACATATTCCCTACCTTGGTTTCAATGGCCAATGCAAGCCTCCCTCCCAACAGACGTTTTGATGGTATAGATGTGTCCAGTGTCCTTTTTGGGCTTTCAGACAGAGGACACAAGGTAAGAAGTGAACCCTATATAATTTTTTTACTCACTTGTTATCTGTTTTAGTAACATAACTACTCTGTAGCTCAGATCAACCAGTACACAAGTGTGGAAGTTGTTTCTAAAAGATAGCAAAATGAAAAATGAGTTATAGGTGGCAGCTTATTGTTCGCTCAGAGTAAAATACTACGTGCAGATCAAAACTGTGGAAATGTATCAAATCACTTTGGTACAGGGCTTGGAAAATTGCATTTTATAGAATAATAATAATTCACTTTATTTATATACCACTCTATCTCCCTGAGGGGACTCAGAGCGGATTACAATATACATAGATAGGCAAACATTCGGTTATTTTAATACAGTGAAATTACTATGACACAAATACACAGAACAAAGGTAAAGTCTTCCCCTTTCATCTCCGGCTTCTGGAGGCGGTGCTCAACTCCGGCCATGGGAGGCGCTCTTGTTCCATTTCCAATCTGAGGAACCTGACGTTTGTAAACACCTCCTGGTCGTGTTGCCAGCATGGCTGCATGGTTGCCTGTATTTCCTTCTAGCTGAAGTGGTACCTATTGAGCAACTCACATTTGCATGTTTACGAACTGCTGGGTTGGCAGGAACTAGGGCTAACAGTGGGAGATCACCCCAATTTCCAGTTTTGAACTACCGACCTTTAGGTCAGCAGATTCAGCAGTTCAGCAGTTTAGCTCATTGCACCCCTCAAACATTTTTTTCGATTCCTATAAAATTTGTTTAGATGAATTTAGTACCTTTTGGAAACAGGCTTCACAAGTGTACATGTGGCACAGTGCCTGCTATGGAGCTTGGGGCAGCCTTATATAGGCTGCCCATGAAGAGGGAGAGACCAGCTCGGCCTCTCCTGCAGCGAGGCGTGGTCAGTTGGCCATTGGCCAATTGACCCGGCAGTGGGAAGCCTTCCCGCCATCCGAGGGGGCTTCTGGGAGGAAGAAGCCCCCCTGAGGCAAGAATGACGGTGGGGGACGCCCTGCACCGCAACTTCTTTGGCCCAGTAAGTCGGGCCATGCCTTTTGTTGTTGTTGTTCCTTCGTTCAGTCATTTCCGACTCTTTGTGACCTCATGGACCAGCCCTGTCGGCCGTCACCACCCCCTGCTCCTTCAAGGTCAATCCAATCACTTCAAGGATGCCATCCATCCATCTTGCCCTTGGTCGGCCCCTCTTCCTTTTTCCTTCCATTTTCCCCAAAACTATAAGTAGATGTGACTTATTGGGTCTTCTTGAAACATTCAAGGTAAGGCAGAAGAACAAAACAAAAACATCCTAGCGATGGCTCTACATGCTTGATAATGCAGTTTGTAATGCATTATATGTAGACCCATATAATTCAGATAAATGCAGTTCAAACTGCATTATTTGGTAGCGTAGATCCAACGCTGCATGAAGGATTGGAACAACTAGCTGCTTGGGTGAAAGTGAATTGATGCAGAAAAACTAAAAACAATAACACCATGTTCCCCATTGGACAACTGTTTTTAAACTGAGGACTATTGTCATTTTTTTTTAAAAAAATATCCTAAGAAATAAAGATATTCTAAGGTAAACTTTATTCATGCCCACAGTATTATAAAGCTTCTAGGTTGCACCATGTAGTGTGTGTATGATTGGGTAAAAGTGCCTGCCCTTAAAGGCTCTAAATAATTCCCTTGTATTGGCTACTAGTGGCCTTTTATACATGGAGTATGTTTCCTTAAAATCGGGATGGACTAACTCAGGATATACCTCAGGCAGTTCAGTTACAATACTCATCGTTTTTCATAACAGTAAAAGTTGCTTCTGGTCTTTGGATTATTTAAAAAGTTAGGAAGTGTAAATGCCAGCTTTTTTGCCCAAGCTCTTCCTAAACCTCTTAACCAGCCTTCTGGAACAAAAGGGAGACATCAAAGTATTTAAGAAATGCGTCAAAAAGAACAGCGCTGCTAAACTCTTCAGTAACGGGGTATAATTCCTAGCATAAATGAGCGCTTTCTCTTCTCAAAGAGCTACATTTGAGTTCAAGTAGCAGAATGCATTTTTGGTGACAAGGCAGAAAATCCATATAGCAATGATAGTAAAAAAATGTTTGATATAGGCCTTTCCTTTAATTAGAGGTTTACACATTTTAGCTAGCTGTGAAGAGTGTGGACATGTTTTTCATTTTCAATGCCATGCTTAGCGTTTTGAGGCACGTCTAAGGAAGGCTGAGTGGGCTGGGAAGGTCTCGTCTGAGCTGGGTAGGAGAAGTGCTTGTTTTATGCTCTACTTCAGAGAGGCTCAGCAGTGACCAATGGGGTGGGGACACTCTCAGAAGATTTTTCAAAGTGTTCACCATTGGCGAAACCAATGCCTGCATATGGATTCCTTAGAATACGCTAAATTGCGGCCTGAGACTGGCTGACTCACCACACCTAATGGCAGGGTCAGGTCTGAACTTTCTCCTTATTAAAAATCTGAATCACTGAAGGCTGACAGATATGTCTGGTTCACAGGTGTGTTAAGTGTCCTTTGCAATCTCTAATCTTGTATGTGATCCTTTCTGTCACACTTATAAAGGGCTATACTTCTCCGCAGATAGCAAGATTACAGAAATGGCAAAAACAAATGCTTCCACAAAAGTGTTTGATAGTTCTTGAAGGTTGTTGCTGTTGTTAAGTTTATTTATTGTTCGGGCTTGGCCCCATATAAGCCGCTCCAAGTCCCCGTTGGGGAGATGGTGGCGGGGTATAAATAAAGATGATGATGACGATGATGATGATGATGATGATTATTATTATTATTTGTAGTCCATGTGTCAAATTAAGGTTTCATCTACCCAGGCACTACAATCCAGTTTGAAACCAGCTTGAGGTTGGGGTGTCCGCATCCAGACAAAAACATCATATTTTAAAAAAACTCATTCAGAACAAGAACCCGAGATCCAAATGTAGAGTGCTTGTGAAGACAGGGGTAGGGCTGAAGAATTCAGCAGAAGAAACTGGATACCCATCTTGGGTGGAAAGTAAACAAATATCTCTCATTGAGAGAGTAAGACACAGTGTTCCTGTGGGAACAGTTGCTCCCCCCCCCCTTAAACTTTGCCCTGGTTTGGACCAGCATTGATTTTCATTGTATAGGCTGCTTCTTATCAGCATGTCCTGCTAAATGAAGTAGGGAAAAATGATTGATATGGAATCAGTGGATCTTTATGGCTACTGTCACAGCTTTTAGCTGGTTCCTGGGGTGCCTGTGTAGGTGCTCTGCTGGAAACCGTGTCTCTTTAATCCGAATCCTGGCCTGGTTTAAATGGCTATGTAGATGCAGTCACACAAAAAGTTTATAATAAATATGTTAAGTTTTCAAGGTGACATACAACATTTTTAATACTCCCATTGACTCCCACTTTCATCATCTGATCATTCCTTCTATATTTCTTTTACAAACTTGGTAGTTATACTATTGTGGTGTCTAAATCCCTGTCCTTATCTCCCCTGCAACATGGTGCAATTCTGTCCTTGCTCTTGTGTAAAAAACATTCTTCGCCGTGTCCTCTGTGAAATATAGGTTTTCCCCCGTGCATGCGCAGCAAGTCGGAACATTCAAGAGTTTTTTAATTGATTTTTTTATAACAGAGGAAGCCCCACCCATCCTCCCAGTGATATATAAGACAGAAGGTGGGACTTAGCCTCAGTTCCCCAGCGCTAAACAGCAGCTAGGTTAGAGGCATGACAAGGAAAGGAGGACGGGCGAGTTGTGCGGATTTCACAGATGGACACTCGAAGAAATACGGTTACAGGTAAGCAACCTATACTTCGTCGTTGTGTCCTCTGTGAAATGCGCACGTATAGGTGAATAGCAAGCTACTACCCTGGAGGTGGGTCATGCCACATAGGAGAAGAGTACAGCTCTGCCAAAGGCGGCGTCCCTTTTAGCCAGAATGTCCAGTTTGTAGTGGAAAACAAACGTCAATGGTGTGGACCATGTGGCTGCCTTGCACATCTGTTTTGACTTGCTGTGCATGTGCGGATTTCACAGATGGACACTTGAAGAAATACGGTTACAGGTAAGCAACCTATAATTACCTGCTGACTGATCTTAGTACATAATGCCCCTGTTGTTTCCATGTGCTGCCGGAAAAGCTGATTTTCAATAGCACGTCCTTTGTTGCACACATGATTTACATGTGTGAGGTATTTGTCCTCTGGTTTTCAGGGATCAGGGATTTTACAAGTTGAGTTTTTACAAGCTGAGTTTTCATTACTCCAGCAAAAGTCCTGCTAACTTAGTATACCTGCCTTACAGCACACAGGACAACTATCCATACCTGAGTTGAAGCTAGCATAGTGATCCTAGCATGATTTAAGAGCCGTGGTTCCCAGCCTTTTTTATCAGTTTTGATCAACCTTAGATTCAGTTTGGTTATTTGAAATGCTGATTCAGAAAATTGCATTGGCTAGACCACATCAGCTCTAATTTCTGATACAGAACATAGGCCATCCAGTAGTCAGCATCTGCTCGCCCACAGAAAACGATATTTATTAATCCTCGGCACTATAAGAGGGTTTCGCGAGACCAGTTGCCTTTGTTGCAATGGTGTAGTAACGGTGAGGCTGTGGGCCATATTTTAATTCTTGCAGATCACTGGTTGTCCATGGACCACAGGCTGGGAACCACTGCTTTGGAGGGAACCCAGAGGACATAGTGTAACTTCTTTTCCTGAATGAAATAGTTTAGTTCATTGTCACTACCTCTCTCCATAGAGGTGAAAGAAGATGCTAGTTCTTGCTGTATAAGAGTTGAAATTTTAACTTTTCCAAAGGATTCTTTCTATAAATATCCCTTACTTTACTCTTTATTTTGAACACTTTGCTCCTTCTGTTCAATTTTGCAGATGCTTTGAAACTCCCATGGTCTCATTTTACATCATTTCATGTCTAAGGGAGAACAAAGAAGCACCTAAGACATCGGGTGGTGCATTCCTTAATGTTCATACATATTAATGAACTCTACTCCAGTACTC